TTTTACTTCCACTTTCACAGGGATCTAAAAATACTACCCTTTGAGGGGCTAAAAGCCAGAAGGCCAAATCTGAGATGCAACTCCCACCTCAATGCCAGTTATCAAAATTCCTGGGAACACAACAGCACTGAAATTTAAGTCACATTTTCAATTCCACTGTAACTATAGGACCAGGTTCTCCATGACAACACTCAGATGCCCTGACATATGTCACATAAAAAAGGCACCTTGCACGAAGGTGGGGATGTTGATTTAGCCACAGCCCTCCATCCTCTCAAATTTGTTTTGAGAAGTATTGGGTCTAATCCAACTCCAGTCACTGGAAGGACCATGAATGCACAACCTATGGCAAAATATTCTAATACTTTTCTCTTGCCAATGAAGTAGTATTCAACTTCTGCTTGTCAAGTTTCCAAGTAGTACTAAAGTGATTGAAAGCTTTTGTGGTGGAGGAAGTGCTGAAAAATAGAATAAAAGCAAATCACTTGGAGAGCTCATAGAGCAGCTGCATTATTTAAGGTTTTAGCAAAGATTTGTAGCTCTGGTTGTGGATGAGGTTGTTGACTTGGTCACCAAGCTGGCTTGTTTTCGTTCACACGTTTCACCACGATGCTAGGTAACATCATCAAGTGAGGCCTCTGATGAAGTGATGTTGTTCCACTTTGCTTGGAATTTATACTGTCTGGCCTATTATGGTGAGTAGAGTCATTTCCGGTTTTATTCTGTATAGGTTTGCACATGGGGTCCAATTCTATATTTTTGTTGATTGCATTATGGGGTGAGAACCTTGCCTTTAGGAATACCCGTGCATGTCTATGTTTGGCTTGGGCTACTATGGTTACATTGTCCCAGTTAAACCGATGGCCTTCATTGTCTGAATTTACTGATAATAAGGAAAGTTCGTCGTGTCATTTTGCTACTAGCTGATGTTCGAACATTAATATCAGTATACTCGGACAATGAAGGCCATCGGTTTAACTGGGACAATGTAACCATAGTAGCCCAAGCCAAACATAGACATGCACGGGTATTCCTAAAGGCATGGTTCTCACCCCATAATGCAATCAACAAAAATATAGAACTGGACTCCATATGCAAACCTATGCAAACAAAACCGGAAGTGACACTACTCACCATAACGGACCAGACAGTATAAATTCCAAGTGGAGTGGAACAACATCGCTTCATTGGAGGCCTCACTGATGATGTTACCTACCATGCTGACGAAACGTCTGAACAAAAACAAGCCAGCTCGGCAAGCAAGTCAACAACCTCAGCTGCATTATTATTAACACAAAATTAGGATTTTGTTCTAAGCACCACAAGAGCCTCAAGGTAGACTGCTCATTACAAGGTATGTTGAATACTGTACACACACTATAATGGAAATTGGAGCTATCAAAATATGACACAAGTTTTCACAGCCAAACTTAATTGCTAAATTTCTGTCCAATGGATATTAGGAAAATACTTAAAGTAAATATTACGAATCCTGCTGGATACAGATCTCTTTACTTGACTGCTAGATGAAAGGCATTGATTATTGCAGATATTTTCTAAACTCCCTGTCCTTTTATCCTCTCGTGGAATGTGGATGTCACTGGCTGGCCAGCATTTACTGCTTGTCCCTAACTGCTGTCGAGAAGGTGGAGATGAGCTGCCTTCTTGAAATGCTGCAATCCATGAGTCTTAGTTATACCCATAATGGTCCATCTAGTTTTATTTCTTCATTGAGCCTTTGAAATGATTGATAACACAGTGTCTTGTGAAGCCATTTCAGAGGGTAATCAAAATGATTGATAACACAGTGTCTTGTGAAGCCATTTCAGAGGGTAATCAAATACATTGCTGTGGCTCTAGAGTCATACATAGGCCAGACCAGGTGAGGATGGCAGCTCACCTTCCCAGAAGGACATTTGTGAACCAGATGTGTTTTGTGACAATAGGCTTCGTGGTCATCATTAGATTCTCAATTCCAACATTTTATTGAATTCAAATTCCACCATTAGCCATTGTGGGGTTCAAACCCCAGTCCCAGAACATTTCCTGAGTTTTTTTTGAGTTTTGAGAAAAAATTTTTTTCCTTAACCACGTTTATTGCATTTGAAAATCAATTCCAATCTGAGCCCTCCTGCTCTTGATCCTTTAACGAGTGGGAACAATTTCTCCCTGTCTACTCTAATCAGACCTCTCATGACTTTGAAAACTTCTATTAGATCTCCTCTTAGATTCCATTCTCTCCAAGGAGACCTACCTTGCCAATCTATTCTCATAACTGAAGCTGTCTAATTACTTAGCAAACACTTCCAGGTTATTGTCTTTAAAATATTTCCATCCACACAGCTAGCAAGTCATTTCAACACACATGCTGATTATAAGACATAGTTTCATCTATTAATATAATGAAATAAATATCCAGAAATGTTCCAGACGTTTTAACATCAAACAGGCTGGAGATCAAATACTTCAAAGCGAGAATAAACCATATTACTTCTTTTTATTCATTCACAGGATGAGGGTGCCACTAGGTAGGTCAGCATACATTATCCATCGCTAATTGCCCAGAGGACAGTTAAGAATCAACCACATTGCTATGGGTCTGGAGTCACATATAGGCCAGACCAGGTGAGTATGGCAGATTTCATTCCCTGAAGGACATTAGTGAACTGGATGGGTTTTATCCAACAATCGACAATGGCTTCACAGTCATCAGTAGATTCTTAATTTGAGATTTTAGTTTACTGAATTCAAATTCCATCTGCTGTGTTGGGTTTCAAACCATTAAACCTCATTTCAAACCCCAAAACATTGGCTGAGTTTCTGAAATTAACAGCCTAACTGTAATGCCGCTATGCTGTTGTCTCCCCAAATCAAAAGAACTTGAAACACCAACTATTAAAGAAAGCCAATGATAAAAATGCTTGGGCTGCCTTGGTCGAAGTCTGCAGAGTATCACAGGAGTTCAGATGTTGGAATAATCACGTTCCTAAAGCAAAAAGCCTCATTGCTTTTTACAGGTTTAATTATCTTACCAAAATCCTAACATGGAGAATAATGAATTGCTGAAAAACTTTTAAAAGGCAGCAATTTTGCCCTTAAATTAAACCTTTCAGAATTGAATATAATGACACCATAAAGAGTCTCTCAGTTATCCACAATAATTGGTACAATACAATGTCACTATTGCTTCTACTGAACAGTCCCAATTTAAAGCTGGGACACATATTTTAAAAGAAATGTTATCCTGTTACTATTTGGATCACGTACCTTTTTAACCAGAATTTTTTGAAAAACCCTGACCCTAAAAATCAACTTGCTTCTGCCTAACAAAATTAATTTTAAGTATTACTAGCTATTACTGTAATCAAATTCATGTCACAAATTTGCAAGAAATAAACAGACATAATCATTATGTTTACTATCTCTTCAATTCAATAGATAACAATGAAAATATTGCCTGTTTGATACTGATGTTCATTGGAACAAGTTTGAGGGAAAAAAAAATATCATCAGCTTAGCCACCAATAATAAAGTCAGAAATTTTAAATGAAAGCCGTAAAAATGAGTTTTTACTACTTGGTAAGCAAATGCAAATGTATTTATTCAATAATATGCATGCTTTGATCTGATTACTAGTTAAAAATATTCTCAGGCATTCTTCTACTTACATAGACAGCTGCATCTGAATATGGGAATCAAGTCTTAGTTTGTTACTTATATGTCTTGTTTTCTTTGTTCCACATGATTAACAATTGTGGAAACAAACATATCAAAAACAAAACATTAATATTTTTCGCACTGTTGCATTATACACCATTGCTGAAGGTTGCACCTTCTATTTCTTGGAGCCATAATAACTTAAGCAAATTTTATTAGCTATCCATTCAGCAGACTATAATTGATCTGCCATCAAATATTATTAAGGTACATCAAAGAGAGAAATCAAATCATTTATTCTAATCTACTTTATTGTAAAACAGCATGTGTAAAATGAAGGGGAGGAGATAATGAAATTATGTTTCTAACTTACAGCAATTCTCTGTGGCACAATGCAAAGAAACCAGAGAGTCTGGAATTTATGTAAATTGTATTCATCTATCAAGTATAACTAGGGCATTTACATTAAAAATGTTCTGTTTTACAGCAATCAAACATCAGTATGAATAAAGGGCTTGTGTAAAATTCATCTCGACTGTTTCTTGAGCAAGTGACTTCTAACCCCAATTACTAAGTGGAAAGCAAAAACAAACACACAATAGCTTCAGTTTGAATCATAATTTCCTGCAGTAACTGTGGGTCATGATTTACCTTTCAAATATCAATCTCTCAATGTTTGGAAACAAGCAAAACAATCTATATGTTTATACATGCTTCAATTCAATGTTATCTATCTTGCTATGAGTTAGCATTCCATCTAAAAATAATTTCTAAAGACTTTAAAACATGAAAGGCTCAATATAACAAATTATCAAAAGAAAGCTTTACATTATAAATGAAACATTTCATAATTGTATTCCAGCAAGTATTAATAGCCACAAGCCATAAATTACTATTAAAATAATCTCAATTACTGCAACACAGCAATCTTAATTGTGTCGTTGCTAACTTCATTTAGAACAACAATTAGGAAGGACAGACAAAATATTAAAGTCAATACTATCTAAAATACTAACAACCAAAAGGACTTAGAATTCTGTTATTTGCAGGAAGAGACTTAGAATTATGAATATATTTAAATTACAATCAAATTTAAAGTATACTCATACTGATTTTAAAAAATCTTCACCCTCTTCATCAATGCATTTAATACAAGATGCAATGTTTAAAAAGTGAACTAAAGCTTAAACAGATTGTGTTTTGAAATATCCTCTTGTAATAAGGAAGCCAGTCAATAAAATTCATTTGTGTTACTGTATTCATTTTAGAAATAACTCCGTGATAAATAAACAATACAATTTCACTATTAATATTTCAGTATAGTCATTAAATACTTCTCTTACCAGAAAACTTCCAAAAGCAGAATTGAAAATCGCAGCTGCCTATAAAACAAGATTAGATTATTTAAATATTACTTCAATCATGTTTTGTTAATTGGTATTAGTAGTACTTCAACTTGTCAAATATAGTAAAAGCTTATATATCATTTGAAAATTAACTCACTAAACAAATACGATAGTGTAAACATATAATTATCTTTGATACTGACAATCACACAAAGAATAATAACAAAGGCTACTAAGACTCTTGTCAATACTGTATGCAACAAATTTCAGTTTCCTCCAATTGAACAAATGTTAAAACTAATACAGCAAAATAACAACTAATATCCTAGATACGCTGTAAATCTGGAAAAGATGCAGAGCGTAAATTAAACAAAAGTATCTTGAACCTCACCCAGTCAGGTAACATGCAGTACCACAATAATAAAGACAACATGCTCTGTTGGTTCATTACGGTCCTTCAGATCCAGGGAGGTAAAAGCTACACCACCTCCACCGAGAAATTATGTAAAATCCATTAGCTTATTTATTTGTAAAACACAATAAACATTAAAAAAGCGCCAAGAGGCACAAAAAATTTTAAAATCAGAAATGATCCAAAGCCATGCTTGAAAGACAAAGCCAAAGCCACATACTGCTTCTATAGAAGAAATGATAAGACTGAATAGATAATGCGGTCTCTAGCTCTAGAGTATTAGGCTTTCTCATTCATGTTCATAATTAATTCAAGAACATTGATAATTTCATTAGACTTTACAGACGTATCAATAAATGATGGCAATGGACCACTGCTCCACCATGCCTTTAATATTACAGTAACCACTGACAAATAACCTCTGCTCACTGTCAAGGATGTGACATATAGCACTTTCTATTACTTAGGAACAATTTCAATATCTAGACAAAGACGATTTGTTGAATTGCAGTTTGGCCCTTTTTCATCCTCACTCATTATACGCTGCTCCTAATTTCAACAAAACAACATCTGCAAAACGATAACGTTTCAGGCCTAGACCCTTCTGCAGAAAAAACGGACACCTACTATCCTACTATCTCTAATGTTCTGAGAACCTGGGTTTGAATCCCACCATGGCAGATGGTGGAATTTGAATTCAATAAATATCTGGAATTTAGAGTCAAATGATGACCATGAATCCATTAATGATTGTTGGAAAAATCCATCTGGTTCACGAATGTCCTTTAGGGAAGGAAACTGCCAGGCTTACCTGGTCTGGCCTACATGTGATTCCAAACCCACCAGCAATGTGGTTGACTCTTAACTAGGGATGGGCAATAAATGCTGCCTAGCCAGCGACACCCACATTCCTGAATGAATAAGGAATCAGGATTTAAACAGGATTCCTCTCTTCCCCACTCAAGACTGAGAAGTCATAAGATTGGAGGCTGCATTAAGCTCTATCCAATGTTAACCTGTTCAAAACCACTATCTTATACATTTTCCCTAACCCAAACATTTTACCCCATTGTTAACATTTAGGTGTATAAACACTTTAATATTTACTATCAACCCCATCTTTCCCCAAGTCTTTCACTTCTCAAATTCAAGAAGCCTGAAGATACCACTTTTTAAACAGCATTTGTTCTTTTCAGACTTAAAAGAAAAATCAGTAGGTCATTGGCTTGAGAAATGTCCACCTCAGTTCTAATCTCAATCTTGATTGGTCTGTAAATCATTTCTCCACTTCTCTTGAAAGTCTTTCACAGACAAAGTCTTCCCTGCTAACTCAGGCAGTTACATAGAACATAACTAGGGACCTTCAATCATACCAATACCCATCATGGAGGCCAGTTGCTTTGTTGAAATAATTATTTTCTTCTTAGCAGTACCCTGGATTTTTAGAGCTGGCAATTGGTTCTTTTTTGACTGTCTTGAAACTGTGGACATTGGTCTGGCTGCCATGAAGTCACATGCAGCTCACCTCTATTTTGTTCAGGCAAATTGTTATTCTTAATCTGCTAACATATCTTTGTTGAAAAAAGTAAGCTCTTTATTTCAACTTGTTCAGTTGGTTGGACATCTTCTTTTGCCCTCTGTGGATGAACTAGACATTTTCACTTCTTCAATCATGGAGGTTGTTTCTGACTTAGAATTATCTGTGCCAACAGTATTGATAACCCTACTCTGAAAGACAAAGGAGAAAAATGTTGTTTGGGCCTGTGTAGCCATATCATCTGTCATCAAAGTCAGATGTGCTGTATCAATTTGTTCACCAGACTGTTTTTCTATCTGAAAAATTTTAGTTAAAAAGATTCCTCAATGAGCTCAACTGGGTTGCACCTTACATTCTTGTTTTCAGCATTTGCATCTTTTGGCAAGCTATGCTGATTTTTGCTATCTCAAAGTTCTTCATGATGATAGAAATGGAAAAACTTTCCACCATATCTGTGTAGTTGCAGATTTCCTTCCCATTGACAATATGAAAAAAATCTATTCTGCTAACTTAGGTTAAAAAAAATCCTTTTTTATGATTCTGCATAGAATCTTGGAAGTTCTGTAAAATGGTCTACCGGTTGCCCCTTGACCAGTTGGTTAATAATCATTTGGTCCTGGACCAGTTGTTCCCTTGGAACCTGCTGAACTTGTTCTACTATCTCAAGGATATTAAATTCAAGACATACATGCAAGTTTATAGTGAGAAGTAATGATTGTGAATTACAGTACATTGTTAACTCTTCGGTGTCTTGTGTTAGTGCAACTTCTACAACACCCTTAATCTTGAGAGTTATTCATAGAATCCCTACAATGTGGAAGTAGGCCATTTGGTTCATTAAGTCCACACTGACCCTCTGAAGAGCATCCCACATGGACCTATCCCTGTAACCCTGAATTTCCCATGGCTAATCCATCTAGCCTGCACATCCCTGGACACTATGGGCAATTTACCATGGTTAATCCACCTAATCCGTACATCTTTTGACCTGAGCTATGGAGTTTCGTCTCTGTAGGCTGTAACTTTTGTTTCTTTAAGCAGGGAAGTTAATCTGATAGACAGTGAAGATCAATTCTATATCAAGGTTAAAACGAATGAGATGTTCATTGACAGAAATAGGTTCTGTCGAACTTAAGATGGTTGAATTACCAATTTGCCTTAGGAACATCTCAGGTACCTTTCCTGATCGTGGTGGTTCCATTTAATTCACAATTTTTGTAGGAGTAAGCATTTGGCTTTTGCTGTTCTGGAATGACTGTATGTCTTCTGGAAGTGATTTTACAAATATAACATTTTTCTTCTGGACATTATTTGCGTGGTGTTTTTGGTCTGCATACTGACATTGACTCTTGAATCTGCTGTTTCATCTACAGTTTGTGTTGGCTTATCACATGTCTATTGAGTTTTTGCACCCTATAAAATGGGTAGAGTCTGTTGCTCCTCCGTGATAAGGTTGTACATCTCCACCAGAATTTGTCAGAGTCTTGTTTTTGGTTTATTATACAATCTGACCAGTTTTCTGCAAAGTTAAACCTTCCTTGAACTGCAATACGTCGGATAAAGACTCACGAATAATGCATACAATAATTCGGTCTCTTCAGAATTCTGACTTCAAACTTCGTAGTCACAATTTTACACTGATATGTAGCTGTCATTAATGAAATTAGTTACAGATTTTGCTGGATGCTGAACCCTTCTGCTAAATCTTACCCTTTCAAAAATTGTGTTTGTTCTCAAATTAAAGTAGTTACCAATACCTATTAGAACACCTTCAAAAGTATTATGTCTTCTTTGATATCTTAGTGACTTATAAAGGCAGGTGGATCCTACTGAAGTGCAAGTTGACTTACTTGTTCAGCTTGAGGTTTAGTATTAATTTTGAAGCAACTCTGAATCTTAAGATTTTTTTCTCCAAGTAGTCCAAATTCAATACACTGCTCGGTCCATCCCTGATATAATACTACCTTATTTAACTTCTCCTGTCATTTTATTCCTAATGTTATTATCAATACTTTTAACAATTAAAGCAGTTTTACATTTGCACACCTTAATGCTGTTTGTAATTTGTTGGTTTTTAATCTTGAAATATATCAATGCTGTTTTAATCTACAAACTGATTAAATAATACTGCACTACCACAACGCTGAGGTAACAAGCTGTAGAGCTGGATGA